GCAGATCTTTATTCAGAACGCTCTTCCAAAAAAAAATCTTTAGATTTAGCTAGAACTTTTGGCCTGTTTTAGCAGCACCTAACTATTGAATGATCGCTCACCTTATGTAGAAATGTTAGGTGCTCGGAACGGGAGGGGGCGGGGCGGAGGGGATTGTTTATGAAAGCTTTATAAGCAGTTTTCATGTTGTGCATAAGTGATACGTATTTCAAGACTCTCAAACTGTTGATTCGAAGTCACCAACGTGAAATAATTATCTTAGGTATGAAACCTTAGCTCGTTTCGCTATAAAGCAATAGCGACAGCTAACATTTTAAAAGCATTAAATCTTTTTACAAAAAACAATTCAAGGAAGTGGTGGACCATTAACGAACTCACCTTTGGGTGGTTACTGTTGACAAGTTGTTCGGATTCAAATGCCTCTCGCACTTAGTAAAAAATGAGGATGGGACTTTGATTCTGACTGAAAACATTGAACATTTTTCAGCTGCAGGTGACTCTAAAGCATCGGTAGAAACACAGAAATAGGGCTTTGAATTGGATTTGCAGTTCCGGATGCTTGCTTTGGTAAAAAATAAAAAATAATCTGAAAACCAGATAAAGTAAGTTCCTTTGTACTGTTCCGTAATATAATTGAATGTTGAATTTTTTAGGGTCCTGTAATGACAACACTTTATCGTAATGCCGAAAAATTGCACGCCAAACTTTGCGAAAAACTTCGCCAATTGGCAGCATTTCGTGCCGAACTGTACCGCTATGATGTGGAAAATGGTGATACGCAAATGCGTGATATTGCTTCTTATAGCAATGGATTTTACACTACCTCGTATGTTCATTTCACTACTTTTTTTAGTACTTTTACCATTTCTGTCTGTGTTTAACAGAGTTTTGTAATACCCTGTGTGTTAGCAGGACTTATGAAGAAAGCCCCAAAATCACAATATTTTTTCATATTTCACTTTTTGTGAATGGTGGAGACAGTGGGAACTACCTTGAGTGACTCTATTTTTTCAAGAGCAGCTATTCGCAGGCAAAGTCAACGATAGCTTCCTTTACTGGAAATTGCTGCAGAAACATGCCGAATGCAAAAATGAATATGAATTTTTCAGCAAAACTTATAAAAATTTATATTTTATAAATAAATTTATGAGCATTTGTAACCAGGTATTTCATCTTATATCTTGTGTTGTTAGA